AGTGCATAGTAATTCTCAGTTAGACAATGTGCAGAAAATGCACTATTTAAAGGGTTATTTGTCTAGTGAACTGGATCAACTTCTTAGGCAGATTTCAATTGCTGATTCAAATTATACGAGATGTTGGACATTATTAAATTCGAGATATAACAATAAGAAATTCTTGTGTCATTCTATTCTCAAAAAATTGTTAAGTCAAAAAAATATTGTCGGTGAGTCTGCGCAGATGTTAAAGGGATTGATTGACACCACCACTGACTGTTTAAGTGCGTTAACAAACATAGGAGTCGATGTGTGCTCCTGGGATATACTTATAATACACTTGTTAACCCTTAAACTTGACGTAGATTCCAGAAAAGAGTGGGAAATCTATATTAGCAACGACAGTGAACTTGACGAACTTCCTAAGTTCACTCAATTTAAAGACTTTTTAACGAAACAAGGCTCAAAGAATTCAGTCACAAAATGTTTATAAACCTAAGGTTTTTCACGCAACTGAACTTAAATATGAATTCTGTTCTGACAATCACAAAATTGGTAACTGTAAAAAGTTTGCCAAGGAAGATATTGATAACCGTAGAAGTTTTATTGAGAAGAACCGTCTGTGTTTTAATTGTTTTGGTCATCATGCAGCCAAGATATGCCAAAGTACTTTAAGCTGTAGAATTTGTAAACGTAAACATCATTCGATGCTACATCCTAAAATGTCTCATGATGAAGGTTCAGGTAGGTCTGGTGATGTGCCTAGTGGTTCTGCTAGTGCTCAAGGGTCTAGTAAGGTTTTCGCTTCTTTGTCTGGTGAGGATGTTAAGCGTTCATCCACTAAAAATATGGTGGCGTCATCCAGCTCAATAGAAAGCGACCCTGTTATCACGTGCTATTCATCGAATCAGTTGCCGGTTCAAAGTCAGATTCTGTTAGCCACAGCTCTGGTTAGGCAGAGGAGAGTTATTTTCGACCTGTTGAAGGCTCAAGCCTCTTTGTCAGAAGAGTTGCTAGTACTTGGGTCTTAAAGATGGCTGTACAGGGGCGTAATCTGGATTGGAGGGTAACAACAACATTACTGTTAAATATATGGTAAATTTGAAGGTTCATCCTAGGTTTGATTCCACCACAGTGATAACCGTTCAAGCTTACATTCTCAAGTCTATTACCTCTTTTCTTCCTAGTAAAAAGGTTGTTGAATTAGAGTGGGTAAATAAAAGTGGCATATGCTTAGCTGACCCACAATACCACACTCCTAACAAAATTGAAGTTTCGTTGGGTGCAGAGGTATACGGACAAGTCATACAAGGTCAAATGAAAAGGGGATCAGAAGGATCATTAGTAGCTCAAAGTACCTCTCTGGGTTGGATAATTTCAGGTACTACACAACAGATCCGAAGCAACTACGTCGTTGTAATGCATGCTTTGACGGATGATTACCTCAAGGTATTTTGGGAAATGGAAGCTGAACCCAAGAATCAATCAAAAATATTATCGCAAGAAGAAGAAGATTGTGAAAGGTTTTATGCACAAACAACGTGCAGAGACTCGCAGGGCCGTTATATAGTGCGACTTCCATTTAAACAATAAAATGTCGAGTTTGAGAGTTCTAAATTGATTGCAGAGAAAAGGCTCAGATCATTAGAATCTAGATTCAATAAGAATGAATCTTTGAAAAGGAACTACGCTAAGGTAATCAAAGAATACGAAGACTTAAATCATATGGAGATCGTTCCAGAGATGGAACAAAACGGAAACAAATCTTTCTTTCTTCCACAACACGCCGTCATTAGAGATAACAAAAACACGACCAAGATTCGAGTAGTATTCGATACATCCTGTAAAGATCAAAATGGTAACTCCCTAAATGATGCTCTTATGATAGGGCCAACCCTAAAGTCAGAATTAAGGCATTTACTGATAAGGTGGAGGAAATACCCTATTTGCTTATCAGCTGACATCGTTAAGATGTACCGTCAAGTCAAGGTGGCTGGTCAAGATACAGATTACCAACGATTGTTATGGTGTAATCAGTGGAATGGTGAGGCTGAGGATAACGAAAATGCAGAAGCTACTAGAAAATCAAAGGCAAGTATACAGGAATATCGCTTATTGCGACTAACATTCGGAACCGCTTCAGCGCCCTATTTGGCAGTAAAGACTCTGCAACAACTGGCTCGTGACGAAGGTGCACTGTATCCTGAAACAGCTAAAAAATTAGTTAGTGATTTTTATGTGGATGACTTGCTATCGGGCTGTCAAACAGTGGAAGAAGGATTACAGATTTATAGAGAATTGAACATAATGCTAAAAAAATGGAGGGTTTGAACTTCAAAAGTGGATGACAAATGACAGTAAACTACTGGAAAGGTTAAAAAAGGAGGAAGAAGAAAAGGATATAGGAAAAGGGATTAACTTAAAAACAGATGTGATAGTTAAGCTTTTAGGACTTACCTGGAATCGACGATCCGACGAATTTCAGTACACGGTGACACTTCTGCCGCAGGCAGCACCTGTAACAAAAAGAAAGGTTTTGTCAGACATAGCTAAATTATAAGACCCCCTAGGTTGGCTTGCGCCATGCATAATCAAAGCAAAGATTTTAATCCAAAAATTGTGGCTGGCAGGAATAAATTGGGACGAAGAAATTCCAAACTCAATACTCAAGGAATGGATTACTTACCGGAACGAGTTAGAAAATTTGAAACAATTCCAGTTGCCTCGTTGGATGAAAACCAAAGGTGACGATGAAGTGGTAGAACTCCATGGATTTGCAGATGCTTCGAATGCTGCGTATAGTGCAGTAGTGTATTTGCGAGTTGTTGATTCGGATGGAAATATTTACGTCAGCTTGGTTACCTGCAAAACAAAGGTCAATTCCAATTAAACAAATATCAATTCCTAAAATGGAGTTGTGTGGAGCAACATTATTAAGTAAGCTTATGAAGGAGGTGTCTGAAGTGTTGAACATTGAAAGGTCTCATATTCATGCTTGATGAATATTCAGAAGTGGTTTTGGCCTGGTTGAGAAGACATCCAAGCAAATGGCAGACATTTGTTGGAAATCGTGTCTCAGAAATTCTGAGCACACTTGATTCTAATCAATGGTCACATATTCCATCCAGCCAGAATCCTGCTGATTGCGCATCGAGAGGGCTAAATCCATCAGATTTGTTGAAAAATACTTTGTGGTTTTATGGTCCACCGCTTCTTCAGGAAAAGACCGTAAAATATTCTAAACCAAAAAACGATGAAACTCAGTTGGAAATAAGAAAGGTTCACTTTACTGAAATGGATAAATTCATTTGGGACAAATGCTCTTCATGGACCAAGCTGGTAAGAGTGGTGGCTTATTGCAGGCGTTTCCTGTGTGAGAAAAATAACTCTGAACGCCGTCATAATTACCTTACAGCTCAAGAGTTAAAACATGCTACTGACACCTGTATTAGACAATGCCAACGGGAACATTTTAAAAGGGATTTGAACTTTTGAAAGCTAATGAACCGAATAAAATCAAGGGTCCTCTTAAACCTTTAAATCCGTTTGTAGACGAATCAGGACTGCTACGAGTGGGAGGACGTCCGGAAAAATCCCAATTGGACACAAACAAAAGGCATCCGATTCTGCTTCCTAAAAAATCGCCTGTAACGGATTTAATTGACGCTAACGCCCACACAAACACGCTACATGGAGGTCCGTAGCTTATGCTTACATATTTGCAATCCAAATACTGTATTTTAGGCTTCAAATTGTTGACAAAATCACATGTCAGAAAATGTGTGACATGTTTCAAGGACAGGGCAAAATCTGCCACGCCTTTATTGGGCCAGCTTCCAGCTGCTAGAGTAACACCTTCTAAACCATTTAAATGCTGTGGAATTGATTACGCTGGACCCATCAACGTACGGACAACAAAGGGCAGAGGATACAAATCATATAAGGGATACATATGTGTTTTTATTTGTATGGCGACTAGAGCAATTCATCTGGAAGTAATATAGTTAAACATCCAGGAACTGATAACATTACACGTGTAGTCACTTTGCGAACTAAAAATACAGTTATCAAGAGACCAGTATCCAAGCTCTGTATACTTCCAACTGATACTGGACCCTCTGCTAACCAATAAAATGTTTAATGTACTTCTTAACCCCTTATGGGTATCTATATAATATATTTTATTTGTAATGGGTAAATATAGGTTACTTACTTTGTTTTGTTATTGTATTGTGACATGGTGGGCGGTTTACTTTTATTGTTTTATTGACACGATAATGTTAATTAAGGACGATTCTGTTTATATCGTCCTTGGTGGGCGGAATGTTTAATGATTTAGTTCATAAGTGCGATCATAGATGGCGCTTGCTGTATGTTGCTTCACGCGGTGTAAAGGTTTTTTGATTTAATGACCCTAGGGTTCATACGGCTCACAATAAAAAAGAAAACTAATTGGTTTGTTAGTACTGTATATTGAAGTATAATTTCAAATACATACTTACCTAGAACTACCTCGTCATACCTATGTACTGGATTATACAAAATCCTTTTAAATTATAATTTATGTAATTATCCTTATTCATTGTTGCTGTAAATAGTGACCTAAATATAATCTTTTAATTAGTACAGTTTGCCAAGAAATTTGTACATAAAATAAAGTATGGGTAATTTTGATTAACTACACACATATTATTTATTAAATTACAAGTTATTTTATTTTCTCAGTGGTGGCACGTGATCTAATCCGGAAATAATTTACTTACTTTCGTAATCTGGTTACACGTGATGTTACCCAAAAAGTGAGGAGCTTATTATCGGGATGGTTCTATTTTTATTGTCTGAAGTATTTATACTATTATTTCATCGGTGATGGCACGTGAATACACCCGGAAATATAAAACTTAATTTCTTAATGTGATGACACGAGATGTTATACAGAAACTAAATGTAAAGCTGATTCAATAAGAGCCCTTGTTCTATTAGATCCTGAATATAACTTTTGCGTCGAGTATAAAGAAATGGAGTCCAACGCGTACGATTACGGCGGTGGCAGTGGTAACGTCAGTGAGGAAGAAGCCGCATCTGAGCGCCGCAAGCCAAAGTTCGTCATTGAAATATCCACGCCAGCACCCTTCTCACTTGAAGCTGAAACTATTATTCCCGAGAAGTCATCACAAGACGAGGAAAGTACTCTTCCCCCAGAAATCTTGGCTGATCTTGGGTAAGCAAAAACCTCAGATGTTTTTGCTTACCCAAGATCAGCCAAGTTTTCGCTCAGAAGATCCCTACGGAAGTCCCTGAACGTTGGGGTAAAATTATAATAGATAGGTTAACGAAGGAACAGAAGGAGAACTTGCTTACTAAAACACTGATCATCGAAAACTTTCAACCTGCTATAGCGCCAAGATTGCTCGTCGAGATTGTGTCAGTAATTAATGAATCGACTAAAAATCATGACAGGCGTGAAAAGATGCAAAACCAACTAGGTTGTGGTATTGCAGGCTTAGCACATTTAACGTCGGATTTAAAAAGTAAAGAAATCAGCAAATAAGAAATAATTAAACAAATATACCTGAAACTTATCACCACGAGGGAACAATTTATCGTAGACGATTAATTATCCCAATCTTAGACAAAAGCTTTATTAATGTAATTCAAGGCAATAAACGGAACAAATTGCTCTTCGGTGATCATTCAAGCGAAAATACCAAAACTACCAAGACAATAGAAAAATCTAGCCTGCGGATCAAAAAATCGCAATTGTCTGCTCCTAGAAAACCATGAAAATTGAGCTGGAAACTCAAAATCCCCCCCCACAGCGGGTGCCCATGTGCAAGCTCGGCCTACCCTCCACATCAGCAGCCCGCCACCCACAGGCAACTGCCAGCGGCACGTCGCCCACCACTGGCCCCACCGTCGACTGGCTGCAGAACTATCGCAGCCGCTGCTAAAGGTACCATACGCTGGTCGAATTCAATACTTTTTACACGATTAGTTATACATAAAAATGGATCCACAAATATTGAACATAGTAAAGGGCTATTCGTTAATATTCACTCGAACTCCTACCCAACTCGTAGAGTCTGATAATACTCTTGGTTCTCAAGACCGAAATGTTGAAATTGATCAAGCAACTCAAACGCTTAGGATCAATTGTCCAATGTACCGATTTTGATGTAAATTTATATCTCCGATATATCATATTCCTAAAAGTTACTGGTCATATAAATTTATTCGTAATTTGAAGTCACTTAATAAATTTATGATCTTAAAGAAGCTTATTTTTTAGTTCCCATCCATAAATGCTCTAGAAAGTACTTACGATTTCGTTTCAATTATAAATTGTATGAATTTACTTGCCTTCCGTTCGACTTGTGTACAACTCCGTTCATTTTTACGAAATCGACAGTGAACAGTCCTACGCCGTATAGGCCATAAATTTGTAGCGTATTTACATGACCTCTGGATCACGTCTGACGACTACTCGTAAAAGTCGTGTTAAAATTCAATAACAGAAGTTATTTATTCTTGACAGCAATTAGGTTTTGTAATAAATAATGATAAAAGTGTTCTTATACCGAGTAAGATGTGTAACTTAACTCTAACTATGAGCAGTGTGCTACTGAGTTTGCTCAGTATTTTTATTCGGTATTTAGCCCTAAGATGTCTAAGCTGGACGTGGAGACGGCAGTGAATCAGGCTGGTGGTAAGAATGGTGCGGCTAGGGTACACTTAGAACAACTAAAGCTTGATGAAGTACTTTACGCTCTGCAAAAACTCAAGCCAAAAAAGTCAACGGGACCCGATGGCATACCGCCCTACATTTTCAAAGACTGTAATCAGTGCCTGGCGGAGGCAGTGTTTCCAGATAGATGGAAAACAACCAAGGTAGTCCCAGTACCAAAAGAAAAGTCAGCATCAAACGTGGACCAATATAGGCCGGTTGCTGTGCTTTCGACACCAACTAAAGTACTGGAGGCTGCAGTACACAAGAGCATCCTCTCGCAAGTTAATGTACAGCTTTCGGATGAGCAACACGGTTTTAGACCCGACAGGAGCACCACCAGCAACCTAATTAATTATATGAATTATATTGTACCTGAAGTGGATGCTGGAGGACAGGTAGATGTAGCTTTCTTGGATTACAAAAAAAGCTTTCGACCTAGTGGATAATGACATACTGCTCACAAAACTGGCAGGTGTAGGATTTACTCCCCATTTACTAACATTTTTTGCTAGTTATATGCGGAACAGAAAGCAGTATGTAGAATATGCGGGGTGTAGGTCAGAAAACTATTTAACTAGGTCCGGAGTAAGTCAGGGCAGCAATCTCGGTCCATTGCAATTCATATTGATGATAAATGACCTTCCAACGGTTGTCAAAGATGCTCATTGTACTCTATTTGCAGATGACCTGAAACTGTATCTTGCTGTGAGGAACAGAGAGGATTGCCAAAAGTTACAACAAGATATAGATAGGGTGGTAGCCTGGAGCCAACATAATAACTTACAATTTAACATCACGAAGTGCATAACTATGACCTTCAGCCGTGTACTATCTCCAGTTACGTACCAATACCAGGTTAACGGGGCACCAATAGCGAAAGTGTCAAAAGTCAAAGATCTAGGGGTTAATTTCTCCTCTAAACTAGAATTTGGAGAGCATATAACCAAAATCTGTAAGAAAGCCGAAAGAAATTTGGGATTCGTACTACGGATAGCTAGGGACTTCACTAATATAAAGACAGTTATTGCATTATATAATTCTTTAGTGAGGAGCCAAATAGAATTCAACGCGGTCATCTGGTCTCCACATGAGACTAAGTATAGTATCATGTTGGAGAGAGTGCAGAATATATTTATTAGATATTTATATCAAAAAATGTATGGAGTATACCCATTTTACCCAAATAAGTATCCTACCTTATTCACCTTAGGTATGGTAGGATACAATGAGCTAAAGGTTAGGAGGAATTTAGCGCTTGTTTCATATATCTTTAAGGTGATGAGGGGAAAGATTCACAATCCAGACGTATTGCAACAAGTGCGCATATGTGTTCCGGACAGATACGTGAGGCGGCGGCGGCGGCCCAGCTGATAGCTGTGCCGCGCGGCCACACTAAGCTGGTGACTGAAGCGCCCTTTACGCGCGCCCTCCGTATCCTCAACCGTATAGCAGAAGACATAGATATATTTTGTTGTACTCTGGGTGGGTTCATAGTAAGAGCTCTGTTTGAAATTAGTTATGGTCCTTATGTGATATAGATACGTGTTTGAAATAGCAATAAGTACATGTCTGTAATCGAAAATTATTAGCTTGTAACTATTTAGTTGGAGTTGGTAAAATAGTTGTCTACATTATCGCATTAGGTGATAAACCTGTAAAGATAATTGTATAGTGGAAAATAAATAAATAAATAAATAAACTTTCTTGAATTTTTTTACTGGAATTCACAACATGTGACCGTAGAATTACTATCAGAAAAACGTTGTAAAATTTATGAAAAGATTAAGAATATGTCTTATAAATCGGAAATGAAGATAAGAGATTTTGCTCAATTTATAGGTACCCTAGTACCTTAGTGGACCTGCATGTCCAGTGGTAGCTTATAGCTGGATATATATCTAAGAACTTTGTGAGGGAAAAAAGTCTTGATCTCTTAAAAGACAAAGGTTATGACGCAAAAATGAAAGTCAACGCCTTAATAAAAGATGATTTTTTATGGTGCAGAAATAAATTATGCAAACTATTATATTAGAACAGATCATTTTCAATTAGAAATTTTCTCCGATGCCTCACTTACAGGGTTGAGAATGATCTGCAATGGAGAAACAGTAAACGTATATTGGTCACAGAAAGAAATGGAAAAACATATTAAATATTTCGAACTTGTAGAAAACTTTATGTGTCTAAATTGCTTTTGTAACAAAATTACCAAATCTGATGTTTGGTTAAGAGTTTAATAAAACTATTATTTACGGATTTTATCGCGTTTAATTACAAATTTAATTTATTTTTATTATCCCGACGTTTCGGGTGCTTGTGTGCAAGTGCAGTACCCATGGTCACGGGGGGGGGGGGGGGGACTGAGATGTTTGATGTCCCAATGTCATAGTCCAGCTAGCTTCAGTTTTTGAATATAAATATAATATGTATTTTATATTCAAATTATATATTTTAAAAAGTAAGTTTTTCACAGGATATGTGATATGTGATTCTTGTGGCGTTGTTGAATTAAATATACACGTGATCCTTTTCCAAAGCCTTGATTTTTATTTGTTCATTTTGCAATTAAGCACTAAAGGTCTACATAATTATTAATTCTTCTAGGATGCAGCAACGGAGTATAATTTATGGTTAATTGAAGTTACCCTAAGTGAACTTCAACCAAAATTATACTAGTTGCTGCTCTTAAACTAAAAAACACTTGTAATTAATTGCAGAATGAAAAATTACTTTTAACTCTTTCGATCGTGTTGAATTCAGAATACTTAGTAAATCAAATTATACATCTTTTGGGTACCTGTCCTAAGAATATATTATCAAGAGTTTTTCCTTGAACATCCGATGGAATTGTTAAAACTTTAACTTCAGCTCGAGTAATAGGATATTTAACAGTGGTAGAAGCTAAAACTTTTTGATGTGCGAGAAGTACATTTGGATTAATTCGTGCTTGTCTGACAATAAGAGTTGCGTCCGTAATGCCAACTTTAAGCTTTACGACGTTTGACCCAGCAATTACATTAAAACTCTTTCCATTTTTTTTCGATCTTTCACTCTGATCGAGACGCCCGGCTGGGCTGGTAGGCTCACAATGGCTTACAAAAGTCAAAGGACAATATTTTTTATTATTTATTTTTTAATTTTTTGTAAAAATAATATCCTAAAATTCGTGTGATGATGCAGTACCACAGAAAGCAGACTACATAGTTATTAAATCTCTACGGATGCAGCAACTCGTATAATTTTGGTTGAAGTTTACTTAAGGTAAGTTCCATTAACCATAAATAGAACAGTTGATGGTATGATTTACAAGTTTTTATTCATATGGAATTTATATCTGCAAAACACGTCACACACAAGATTCCAGAAAACGTTTATTATAGGAAATACTTTAGAATCATCTGTATTATACTGGAGTTCCACACCTTTCACTATAAATAGAAGTAATGTATTATGTTGCAATAATCCTATAAGAGAAATCTCCTCATCATTACTTGTGTGGCTCATTTTACGTTTTTCACTTTATAAATAAATAATTTCATGTTTTTATATTTATCGTGGAACGGAATTTAAATATTATTCATTTGTTAAAATGTTTGATGGCTCCTCTTCACGATCGGCCATGATGGGCGATTACACGCGAGCACGATCGTGTAGAGGGGCTAATCGCCTGTAGTTACCCATCATCGTCCTCAATTGTCGTTGATCGTCGTCGTGATCGTGGCGATCGGTGCCTTGTCGGTTTTTCGGGCACACATCAAAGGAAATCATTTATAATTGATCGATCGCCGATCATTCATTCACCGGAGGACAGCGAGCAGTGCGTA